CCAGCCCCTGCCTTATTTCCCTTTTTATGAGCAACTTATTTGAGGAGGAAAAAAGCTACCGAGAAAGAAAATAAAACTTGCATGAAACACAAAAGCTTCAAAAATGAGCAAAGGAAGAAATAGATGTGTATTTGTTGGAAATCATTTATTGCCTATAAAAGTTTAAATAAAAACCCTACAAAAGTACACATTACAGTCTGATGTGGATTTAAATGGTAGTGTTTCAGAGGTAGTAAGCATGACCCGGGATGTGAGATTGCAAGAGGAATCATTAACTCATCAAGTTAATACTAAATAGAACCTTCATATGGCCAAGAAGTTTGGAAATATCCCCTTTAACAATGCTTTTAAATTTGGTATATTTCAGACAAAGGGACATTAGCTGTTGGCGCAGAAGTTGGTAAGGACTTCCATCACAGCATCCCATAGCATTGCCCTGGGATGTGGGTGGTACAGTGCTATCTGCCAAGGATGATACCAATCCCAAACAGAGTAATGTCTGACCCATGCTTTGGGCATTCTGTAATTCATCTGGAGTGTGGTGATGAACATTTGGGTGACAGCACCACAAGGTGGCATCAATAGATCCAAACCTTGGGCTCTAAATAACAATCTGATCTGGCAGAAAAAGAGATATTCCCATAAGTCAACTGTCCCAGCACTGACAGGTTAGTGCTCTGAGCATTGTTCCTGAATATGAACATAGGGCATAAAGCTGGTAAAAGGAAGAGATCACTCAATGAAAGTGTGAGGAATCCCAAAGACCCACAAGGCAAAGCTAGGAGCAGCAGACTTTCAAATACAATGTAACACCCCTCCCCCCCCACACCCTACCCTACTACTCCCCACCCAAATCTCTAACAAGATTCCTGAATATGAAGGGTCTTTAGAATAATACTGTTTAGCTGCTAGGCAGAGTCCTAGCAGTGAAGCATACAGAATGGGCAGAGCAAAGTCTCATTGGCCCTTTCTCCAACAATGTCCAACATTTCCATTAAGTGCCTACCACCAAAATGGTTCTGCTAAGAAGAGCTCACTAGCTTTCTTGGGGACGTCCATTTACTTCTTGCCTTTCTCTCTGCGAGCAATCATTTGCCTGCTTCCCAGGGAGTGACTTCTCGCTTTCTCATGGCTATTCACTGGTGACTTGATTGAAATGATGAAGGCATCCGTGGGAGCCTGAGCTCATGGCAGATATCAAAGTGGAGAAGTAGCTCTTACGTTGGCCTTGGCCTTCCTGAGAAGTGGCAGCAATCCTTCTCTAACAGTTGGCTTGCAGGGGGCAGCTAGGTGGTACAGTGAATAGAGCACTGGCCCTGGAGTCAGGAGGACCTGAGTTCAAATATGGCCTCAGACACTTATTAGCTATGTGACCCTGGGCAAGTCACTTAACCTTAACTGCCTCAAAAAAAAAAAAGTTGGCTTGCAGTAGGAAAAGGGCTGGGCTGGGAATCCAGAGCCCTGAGTTCCTAGTCTTTACCCTACTACTGACTCGCTATATGATGCTGGTCAGGTTGTTTTCCCTTCTCTGGGCCTCAATTTCCTCCTTGAAAAAATGAGAGAGTTAAACAAAATCCCTTCCACCTCTCAAACCTGAGGTGCAATGATAACCAGCAGCAGTGTAAGTGATAACATATTACAGAAGAAAAACTGTATTTTCTAGGAGCGAAATTTTAAGTAAGAAGACTTTCTATAGCACCATTTAAGCCATGACTTTTTCCTTGCTCTAAACTCAAGTCAGTCACAGCATGTTAGAACTGGAAGGCATCTTAGAGGTCATCTAGTCAATCCTTTCATTTTACAGATAAGGAAACTGAGGCCCAGAGAAGAAGAGACATGCCTATGGGCACACAGTTCCTAGCCCAGTACTCTTTCCCCTGTACCGCAACACCTCTTGGGAGCCCATCCTTTTTGGCCTCATAGTTTATTAATAGAATATTTGACCTTGGCATCCTCTTCCAACTCCAGTGTGCATAATTACAATCTGCCAACCCTAACCCTTCTTCCTGCCCAGAAACAGCAGTGTAGTGTTGCTGTTTCCGGCTATAGACGGACCGTGTCCCAATTTAGAAGCATCTTAACTCCACCGGTGGTGAGTGAAGTCGTTCTGAATGGTGCAAATACTAGTGTGCCAGTGTACTACATCTTCAGGAGCCAGAGAGAATTGATGTAGACTTCCCTCTGACCAAACGTTAATGCAGACTGGGTCTTAGGAGTCCTCTTGGATCCCCCTCAAAACTGTACCCTACATTTCCATCTAGGAATCACCCCCAGGAGACTCCTTAATATTTAATCTGTTCTATTTCAAAGGGAATCATTTTTATGAACACCACTGAAACAGTTAACAAGAAAGAATTCTTGGCAGTCTTGGAGAATTAGGATGCAGCACAGAGCATGGGGTCTCTCAAAGAGCAAATGCTCAATAAATATCTGTTGACTGATTGATTATTTAGCCTAGAGAAGAAGAGTCTGAGGAGTGACAATTATGGTCCAAGCACGCAAAAGGTTATTATAGAAGAGCTAATCAGCCAGTCTTCATTTACAGTGAGAAGAAAACAAGAGAAAAAGGGCTTCAGTTAAAATAAGATGTAAGAATTCTTCATTTCACAGGTTGCTGTAGTCAAAGGATTTGTCACCTGCTGGCCAGTCTACTGGTGGTGGCCTTCTATAGGGTTAGGGTTTATAAGCTAGCTGGTCCTTAGACAGTCCACATGCTCTGTCACTGGGCCTGAACTGAAAGCTTGTCCACTGGAAGAGTCTTGAATAAGTCGGGGTTACTTCTACACTGGGCCAAGGTCTCCTGGAAACACAGGACTGAAAAGGGTGGTGGGCCAGTTAGATAATGAGATTAAGGGCTAGCAAAAAGCCCAGGGGCTATTGGTACTCCATAAATGTCAAAAAACTTGTGGATGGGTTCCAGGTCACTGAATGGGTGGGGCCTCCACAGAGGATCTATGGGAAGACATGGACAAGCACCCAATAAGAAGCCTAGATGGACAGCAATGGGCACCATTAGAGCGAGGCCCAGATCAATGAGCTCATGGATTCATTCACTGATACTGAAGGCAAACTACTGACTGTGAAAGAGATGAACCCTTAGACAGACTGGCTGATCTGGGATATCCTTCCCTAGAGATACTGTATGAAGCCAACTCCTTACATCTGCTTTATATCGTGGGTGTTATGTCCCACATAGAAATCAATGTGAAATGACCAAGTTTATCCTAATATTTGACATTTTATGGCCGCACTCATATTCAAGTCCATTGATGGAATTTGGACTGTGGGGAGGGAGGGGGGCACAGGGAGAGCCTAATTCTGTGTGTGCATGTGCATGGTACACACACGTACACACCTCCTCAAATAGAGTCTTCCTCTGCTGTCTCCTCATGATGTGGATAGAAGCCTGGTTTCTTGAAGGCTCTGTCAAGGGGGTGCATTCCTTGGTAGGTCCTAACAACCTGGGAAGGCTGCAGGTACACGTCCCATAACAAACGCTATACATGTCATTTGAGGACCCAAATTTGGAGAAGGTCCTTATTGGCTGGCCACAGGCTGATGAATCTGTTAGCCATAACAACTCTTAAAGACTGCCTGCAAAGTAGTAGGCAAGTTGGAAAGGTAATGCTAGTGAAAGCATTGCCACAGACAGTATTACAGAAATGGGTGCAGAGGTATATGGATATATATATACATATATATATATATATATAAATATATATATAAATATATATATATTTATATATATGTTTATATATATATAATATATATATATATATATTTATATGTATGTATGCATATACATTTGAAGGCCTAGATTGGTTATGATGTGTCTCAGTGGAGAGATTTCCCACAAGAGGAGTTCCCTACATGGACAAAATCACAGACCCTTTATGAATTTACACATAGATGTACATGCACATATATGGGCATTTTGGGGTTGAATAAATTTCACAACTCCTCCTGTGGAGTCAGAAGGAGATATCTGTGAATTTTAAAGGGGTCAAACCTGGTTTTGATGACAATACGCATGAATACTTAGAAGGAGTATTTGATTTTTGAAATGACCAAGACAGCCACCTACCACACTGACCCTTCCTGTATTTAACCATGCAACTCAATTCCACACTGCCAAGTCACAAAGCACTGTGTGCTTGGGGACAAGCTGGCATTTACCTGTATCAGGTCTAGGTAATGCCATCTGGTGCTCAGGAAGCCAAGTCTTTTTGACAGTGAGTTGCCATCTGGTGCCTGCTAATAGAACAATTGGGTAACATGCCCAGCTGGCCTGAATGCTCAGTAAATGGCATCCAGGAAATTCCAAGGCTCCTGATTAACAAGAGTGGGACAGCTTTGGGAGGATGGCGGGCATCCTTGGCTGACGGCACTGTACACATTCTACATGGAGAGTGTGCGGACTCTCAGAGGAACTAGATACAAAAATTGCAGTAGCTTACCTTGACTTTTCCTATTTCCCGAAGCATTGAAACACATTATGAAGGCAGTGATGAGGGTGGGATATTCCTGCAATACTTTATCTAGCCCAATTCCAAAAATTCACCAGTACAGTGTGAATCCTAGTGATATTTGCCACTTGCAGTAATTGAGAGTCAAATCTTTTGCAACACTTACACTTTTGTTTCTGTACTTAAATTAAATAATAATTTATTGGACTTCAAGTTAATGAATTAATCTTCCACAGTCTTCCCCCTGCCCTGCCCCAGACATTCTGGTAAGAGGATGGAAGAACAGCAACAATTTCCATGACATAATTACACGCTAGTAAGCACTTCTCTAGTTCAATCTCTGACTTCAATGAAATTTTCACAGGGGTCCAAGAATAATTCCCCACACTCATCCAAGCTCAAACTGGTTTTTCATGTCCATGTTCAACTCTAAGCCTGCTTTCCTGAGTACAAGTGTATGTGTGGATTACAAGGAGAGGAGAGGAGAGAGAGGGATGGAGGCCACAAAAACCAGGCTAGCCAAGTTTGATCGTCTTGACAGGTAGTGTTGAAATACCTTTATTTTTTTTTTTGCATTCTTGGTTCCCTGCTCAAAGCTACTGTTCAAAATAAGACTCTTCTACAAAACAAAAGAAAAACAAAATCTCTCCAAAATTAGACATTTAAGTATTTCATGGCTGTACTGCTAAAAATTAAATAAAGCTTTCCCCATAGAGCTTCCTCAGTTTACAAAAAACCCCCAAACCCCAAACACTAAGCTTTGAAATCCCATATTTCTTTTCACTCTAAATTGCAGCCATTCTATCATGTCCATCCTTCACAGAATCTGTCTGCTTCCCTCACTTTGTTTTTCCAACTGAAAGGTATCAGGCAACACAATGCAGTTATCTTGAAATGCACACCTGTTAGGCAGCCCAAAGGCTGCGGCATAGCTTGCCCCCCCCATCTCCCACCCCCTCCCCGAATCACAAACTGTCGGAGGCATTTTTCTCTGATAAAGAAGACAAACTGAATGAGGTATCATCAGGCTCTGGCGAGGCATGATGGAAATCCAGCTCTTCTAATTCAGGAGGTAAATCTGACAGCAGGGCCTGGGGCAGAAAAAAAAAAAATCAATTTTTTTGGATTAGTATATGGACAGATTTGCCTAGGTTTACGTTAAAAGTTGCAAGCGTCTCATTTTGATTTAGAGAAAGAATCCTCGGTCAGCATGGTTCTCTGGTGAGAACACAACAAATTCCTTACCTGAAAGGGAAATTTTCATCAACAATTTAATAATTATAAAGCAGGAGACACAGAGGAGCACAGATTATGCAGGAGAGGCACTCTGGACAAAGGGGAAATCAGGAGGGAAGATGAGTAACCATTCTCAAGCAAGTACTTTGGATAGCTTTAGGCATCTCCAGTTCATCACGACTAGTGCAGCAGGGTCTGATAATCACCATTAAAGAGTCAGAAAATTGTGGGCCAGTACCGGTTATGCTCTCCATCACTGAGACAATTTCCATTTCATTGCAAGCTACTTTGCATACTGGTGTAAGAACAAGTGCCTTCAGCAAAATGGATTAGGACAGACCAAAGAGGCCCAGGCATCCTCTCCTTACACCATGGCCCAATCCACAGGTGACCCAGCAACCTCCTGGGACACAGCCACATTGGTGATACCAGATGGCTAAATGATCCATCTGTACCGATGTGTAGCAAATAGGCTGCCTGGACAGACCACCGGGGACTCACCTCTGCCGTTGGCCAATTGCTTTGGCAGGATGAACAGAACTGGTGTCTGCCCACTCCAAACAAATGGTCTTTATTTGGCTGGCTTCTACGTGGCCATCTTGCCATTAGGGCTTAGAAATCCAGGGGCCATTTGGCCACTCCCTCAACTGAAAACAACGTAGTAGAGGTAAGCAATTTCCAGTCCTTAGTTGGGGTCTTGGGTACAGACTAAGGGATGTGAACCAATTAAATAAAAGGTACGTGTGAAGATACAAGATCTTCTGATGAAATAAGGCAGGATGCATTTCCTTCTTTTAAAAGACAAAGTACATTTTAGCCTACCATACCAAAGATCAGAAACACACTCCTTGGACATGCTATGTAACAGAGGGATGGCCGAGTTACTTTAACACCTGTGTGGAAATGAGGTTTTCATTACTGAAGCAGGGTTGCCGTTTATTTTACTCAGTTTAAAACTTCGAACTTCTGGCTGAAATGGAGATCATTGATACAGAAAGGTTATCTCCAAAGTGCTACGTGGCTTCTCAGATGCTGTATCCCAGTAACGGGATGCAGAAGCTTTCATCTCTGGCATGTTGGTTAACCTCTAACCAAGGTCAGATACAAGGAAGTCATTACTGGCATTGGCTAGACAGAATCTGTGCAAAATAAACGACTGGACTTAGTTCAATTTGTAATTGCCAAGCATCCTCATTAAGGAAGGCAAACCACTGTAACAGACACTAACAAGACCTTTTGTTAAGATTTTCAGGAGATATAGCAGGGGCCAAAAGGACGTGAGACAACTGCATTATCAAATCTAGGAGTAATAATTTCAAGTCTGGGAAGAGGATTATGTATTTGTTCAACACTGAATTACCCATGGCTGATTAATGTCGGTGTCTTGTGAAGTTTGAAGACTTGAGTCTCAGAGGCCACATGTCTCTCTATTTATATTTATTTATGTATCGGTATGTGTATGTATATAAAAAACAAATAAAACTGAGTGCTGAGGCATAAAGTTGACTAAGAAGTGGTGACTTTCAACGTCTTACTATGACCTTGGCTTTTAATATTAACACCCTGAGCAAATCTTGGGACGACTTTGACTGCTTCTATTGCAGAGCAAAGAAAGTAAACAGTTGACTTTATTGACTACTGGTTCCCCTTCAACTGCTGGAGGTCTTGGGAGCACAGACAAGTGGAATCTGACCGAGCCAGTACCATATCAGTCTCTGTAACATTAATTGAGGCCAACACGGGGGTGGAGGTAGATGGAGGCATGGGGGGATGGCAAACTTTGTGACAGTAATTGCTCTTTACCCTCACTGGAAAGGCAGAGGATCCAAAGTTCAGGGAAGAAAGCTGATTGGCCAAGATATCTCTCTCTCTTTGCACACACACACACACACACACACACACACACACACACACACACACACACACACACACACATATTGTAAGTTTCCTTGACGTCTTTTACTTTTCACATGAGACACATTTTCTGCTATCCATGACCTTGGCCCCCATGAACTAAGCAAAACCAGGTAACCCAGCTGATAGTGTCTGAGAGAGTAAGCAACATGTAGTATCCAAAGTCCCCAACTTCTTTACCAAGAAGACAGAAAGAGGTTTCATCACTTGTCATCAGTAACCATTTTTCTCTTTTTTTTTTAAAATAGGTTTTAGTGATGTCTTTTGTTTTTACATCACAGTCATTTCAAAATATCTCTCTGAACTGAACCATCCCTTGCAATGAAGAAAATCAGCTCAGTAAAAACAACCAGTACAGTGACTACGGCTGACAATGTCTTTAACAGTCTGGGGCAAGTGTAATGGTGCTCATTGTCGTCTCTGTGAATTAAAAACCTAGGTAACCTGCAATCTCCCCTATACCAAGCGTTCTCCAACTTTTTCAGCCCCTGAACACGCTGCTGGGACAAAAGATTTTGTAGCTCATCCAACCTTCCTGTTTCTCTTTGTTACAGCAAAGACAAGCAAAACAAGTCATCAGGATTCATAGGAAAGTGATACTGCCTTCAATGACACACTAACATGGTTATAGCTGATTTCAAGATTATTAAATGTCAAATTTATTCATTCCTTCCAGTAACAGAACCATAGTCGTGTAACAACAGAAATGCTAACAAGACAAGAGATCAGCCCTTAGGCCACCTGAAGACCATGGCAGACCACACTCTGAGGATCCATACTAGCCACTGGTCACCAAAAGAGCAGCTATTCATTATTCAGGCATACGCTATCATAGTTGTACATCATTGCCATGTCTCTACACCTCTAGCTCCCCTACCAGAGAAGAAGAAAAAAGGGAGAAGGCCCAGCTCACTTGAGTTCATTCTGTTATTGTTACTACTACCACTACTACTACTACCAACAGTAATAATAATAATAATAACCTGTTCACAGTGATATGGTACTTTACGGCTTGTAAAACACCTTCCACAGTTTGGATCCTTAAACAACTCTAAGTCATAGATATTATTACTATGTCCAATTTACATATGAGGAAACTAAAACATTGAAGTCAGATGACTTGTCCAGAGTCACAAAGCTAGTGTCCGAGGCCTAAGCAGTCACTGCAGCACAGAAAATGGGCCACACAGGAATTCGTACTAGCTTCCTTTATTTTTTCTTTTGAAACTAAAACGAATTTGTGCGTTGTTCATGGATTTCAAATGCTACTGGTGATTCCAAATTGACTGCATAATTGAATTCATAGTCCTACAGTCTTGGAGTCCAGGACCACATTCCAAAGGTCAGTCCTAGTACTGGGTCAAATTTTGTTTTTTATAATTATTCAAAATGTATAATGCCTCTGGGCCCACATTTTAAAGCACTGTAATTAGCCCTTTGAGCCTATACTTTAGATTTCTGAGAATGAAGGGACTGTAGAATCCTACTACATACGTGCAATTGAGAGCAATGCACTTGAACCAAGCTGGAAGTGGCAATTAATGGTTGATTGAACTGGGGCTGTAAGCAAGTAGATGAAGACTGGTTTGAGTCTCATGAGTGAATTAACTCTTTGGACTTGAGCTTCATAGTTGAGGTTTCCTCTAGAATATATAGAAAGGAATTGATGAGAGGCTTGGATTGCTAGAGTTCAACAGCTATAGAATCTCCTTCTGCATGATGGGTTTGGAGACAGAGAACTGGGTTCAAAGCCTCACTCTGCCCCACAATAAGCAAGACACTTCCCCTTTCTGAGCCTCAATCTTCTCATCTGTAAAATGAAGGGCTTGGCCCAGATGGCATCTAAGGGATGTTTTCACTCTGGGTCTAGGATCATCTGCTCCTCCAATTTTCTGGGATGGGCCTAAGTGTGGCCCTGCCTTAGGGCAAAGGTCCAAACTGGCTGAGCTCTTTCAGGATTCCTTATACCTTGGAGGACATTCCCTGAGAAATGCTTCTCTGACCCTTGTGCCGCTAACGTACGTTCTATCTCAGATTAGTGATACAACATATGGTAACATTTAGCTTCGTTTCAGTGGAAATGAATTTGTGGGAAATTCACCTTAGCAAGAATAAGAAATTACTAGAAAAAATATAAGAGGTCTTCATTTTGACACTCAAAATATGAAAAAGGCAATGGTGGCCATTGATTTGGAGAATGGATAAACAAATCGTGGCATAAGAATGTAATGGCAAGTTACTGTGCTGTAAGAAACAAACAAAAGAGGTAGTTTGGTATAGGTAGAGGGGTACTCTATGGTTGGGAAGGCCTAGATTTAAATCTCATCTCAGACACTTAACACTGTTTTATGTTTAACAAAATAATTTATATGCTTCTCTCCTTATCTCAAGATATAACACTTGATGTTTTAAATGGAAGAATCAAACATTCTGCCACAATGAAAAAAGGTGATGATAATGATGGTCACCAGGCATTTCCCAAAATCCCTTGCTACTTCTTTTGTGAGGAGTGTTACTGAGCCGAAGACATACACTTCCATGAGTTCCTGCACAGACAAAAGGTAAGTGAGGCCCAGGCCTGGCACTCTCTTCCTCCACAGCCTCTGGATTGGCCAATGCTCACATGAACTGCATCCTGGAAAGTGCCCCAGCCAAGGCCAACCTCTCCTCCTCAGAATATTCTGGGTGGGTTGCCCTTGGCCCTGGATTGCTTTGTTTTTAAGGATGTCCTGTGATTCCTTCCCAAAGGCAAGGATACAAATTGACCAAATGTGCTGGTCTGCCATCTTGTCTTTCCACTAACGGATTGTGCCCAAAGCCTGATGATAACAGTGAAGAAAATTACATTCCTGGGGCGGAGGGTCAGGGGAGAAAGAAGGAAAATCACAGCATAATAGATCCTTCTTCAGTGCAAAACCAGAATGAAGAACAGACGTGACAAAACATGAAGAAAAGCAGTAGTGTGTCCCACTTCTCATCATGATACATGACAGCCTCCCAGTCTCCTCTCTGACTTACCTGCTGTTGTTCTTTATCATCAGCTTTCATGGCTAGTATCAAGCTTCTCACAAATGCCTGGAGTTTAAAGTACTTTTGTTTCTGAATTTCCAGCTCATTTTCCATGAATCTGACTTCTTCATTCTGCAGGCCAAGAGAGAAATAGCCCCAATGACATTAGTATATGTGAAAGGTGGAAATTCTAAAATCTATCAAAGCAAAGGGACAAGAGAGAAAATCTAGCTCTAACAGGGGAGAATATAATGAAGCAAGCTAAATTATTCCAGTGCTCAAAGGTTGGCTGTTAATAGACTTGCCATAGAAAACATCCCTCAGGGTAAAGATGATCAAGTCTGAGTTTCCAAGGTCAAAAATCCTGCCACAAGGTAAGAGAGAAGGAAAAACCTCAACAAAACACGAAACAATTCCTTTCTTGGAAAATTCCCCAAAGTCTAATCAGCACTTAGATTAGGATTAACAACAGTCGGACCCCCATTAACTGAGAGCAAGGAGGCAAGGGAGAATCTCGTGGCCTCCTTGATAAAATGAGGTGCTGGGAATAGCTAAATATGTCACCCTCTTGCAAGGTGGCCAGCATGATGGAGATTGTGAGGACTGGTCTGGGCACCTGCGCATAAGCCTGATGCCTGCATCTTCTCATACAACAAACTGGGTCCCCAACTTCTCCTAAGTACTCATATCAGTGGGGTGGAAGGTGGCCAAGGCTCTCACTGGGAGTCACGAGGCCTCCATTCTAAAACTGGCCTGTGTGATCCTGAGCAAATCACTTCCTTGGAGCCTCAACTTTTCTCATCTGGATAATGGGCACCATACCTGCCCCAGTGAAGCAGAAGACTCTGGTTCTAATCCTAGCTCAATCATTTATGATCTGTGTGACCTTGGCCAAGCCTCTTAATTCAACAAGCATTTATTGATTGAACCCTTCCTATCTACCAGGCACTGATTTTACGAAGACAAAAAGGAAACATTTGACCTTTCTCATTTGTAAAAGAAGGGGGTTGGTCTAGATGGCATCCCAAGGCCATTTCCAACTTTTAATTCCACATAGTTGTTGAGATCAAATTAAATAATGGGCATGAAAGTGTTTTGGAGAAAAATGAATTAAAAACATAAGTTGGTATTTATTATTCTCCAGTTAACATGCATCAGGGTTACACATTTGGCTTAGGCAACTCAGACCAAACAATGAGAGAAAGTAAGAACTGGAAGGGCCCTTAGAAACCATCCCTCAGCCCTCTCATTGTATAGAGGAGGAAACTGAGGCCCAGGTAATTAAAGTAACTTGCCCAAGGTCACAGAGCTATACAAGTAAACAGTACTAGAATTCAGACCCAAGACTTCTGACTCTAACTACTGGGCTTTTGCTTGTTTACCATGACATGCCAGATGAGAGAGAAATGTGGTCAATTTGATGGAGACAGAAGCCTAGTGTAGTGGTCTCAACCACTACAGAGACTAGCAAGGGCTTTTAATGGTGTTGATTGAGGGGCAGAGCCAAGATAGCAGAGTAAAGGTAGGGACCCAGGTGAACTCTCCCCAAATCCCATCCAAACAACTTTAAAATAACACCTCAAATCAAATTCTGGAGTGGCAGAACTAACAAAAGGTCAGGGTGAAACAATTTTCTAGTCTAAGACAACTTGGGAAGTGGCTGGGCCTGGAGCACAGTACAGTCTGCACATCAACAAGCCAGAAGTAGGCCGTGGGGGCAGCTGCATTGGCAGTAAGGGGGTTGGACAACCGGTCAGAAGGAGATTACAGGGGACCCTTTCGTGGTACTGGGTACAGAACTCTATTGCATTGCCCATACACTGCTCTGGGTCTCAGTCTCAGGGTGAGGAGAAGTGCTAGTTCACTAGCACCTACAGCCACAGGAGAGCGGGGTCCCTAGTTACAATTTCAGGGTGGAGAAGACCGTTTGTGGTTGCTTATGGGAGAGCAAGAGATGTAGTCTCTAGATCTAGAAAGAAGCACTGATGCTTGTGACTGCAGGAGAGCAGGAACATGGTCATAATGAGCAAAAGCACTTGGGGAAGCAGGGGTCCTGGACACAGTTCCAGGGCAAAGAAAAGCGCTAGCAGTCACTCACAGACCAGAGCATAGGCAAGGAAAGCAGTGACAACACGTCTCCTTAGATGATACCACTTTGAAAGAAACAAAAACTTATAGATCCCCAGAACTAGCTCTGAAAAACCTGAAGCTTGGGACAGTACCCCCTGCACCCTGGGAGCAGAACCCAATTTTAACATAAAGTTAAAAGTCAAGAAATAGGCTAAAAATTGAGCAAACAACAACAACAAAGAATCTGACCATAGAAAGTTACTATAATGACAGGGAAGATCAAGACACCAACTCAGAAGAAGACAACAAAGTCAAAACGGCTGCATACAAAGCTTTAAAGAAAATTGTGAATTGGTGACAGGACCCAAAGGAATTCCTGGAAGAGCTCAAAAAGGATATAAAAAATCAAATAAGAGAAGTAGAGGAAAATTTGGGAAAAGAAATGAGTGAAGCAAGAAAATTATGAAAACAGACTCAACAGCTTGGTAAAGGAAGCACAAAAAAATAATGAAGAAAATAGCACCTTCAAAAACAGAATTAGCCTAATGGTAAAAGAGACACAAAAATCCACTGAAGAGAAGAACTCCTTAAAAAGCAGAACTGCACAAGTGGCAAAGGATGTATAAAAGCTCACTGAAGAAAACCATTCCATAAAAATTAGAACTGGGCAAGTGGAAGCTGATGACTCCATGAGATATCAAGAAATAATAAAACACAATCAAAAGAATGAAAAAGTAAGAGAAAATGTGAAATATCTCATTGGAAAAACAACTGACCTGGAAAATAGATTGAGGAGAGATAATTTAAGAATTATTAGACCATCTAAAAGCTATGATCAAAAAAAGAACCTAGCCATGATATTTCAGAAAATTATCAAGGAAAACTGCCCTGATATCCTAGAAACAGAGGGTAAAATAGAAATTGAAAGAATCCACTGATCACCTCCTGAAAGAGATCCTAAAAGGAAAACTCTCAGGAATATTATAGCCAAATTTTAGAGCTCACAGGTCAAGAAGAAAATATTGCAAGCAGCAAGAAAGAAGCATTTATATATTGTGGAGCCATAGTCAGGATAACACAAGATTTAGCAGCTTCTATATTAAAAGATCAGAGGGCTTGGAATGAGATATTCCAGAGGGCAAGAGAGCTAGGATTACAACCAAGAATAACCTACCCAGCAAAATGGAGCATAATTCTTCAGGGTAAAAATGGACATCTAATGAAATAGAGGACTTTCAGGCAATCCTGATGAAAAGACCAGAGCTGAATAGAAAACGTGATTTTCAGATACAAGACTCAAGAGAAGTATATATAGGTATACATGAAAGAGAAATCATAAAGGATTCAATAAATTTAAATTGTTTATATTCCTACATAGGAAGACGATACTTGTAATTCCTTAGAACTTTGTCATTATTAAGGCAGTTAGAAAGAGTATACATAGACAAGGAGCATAGGAATGAATTAACTATGATGTGATGATTTCAAAAAAATAAAATTAAGGGATGAGAAAGAAAGATGCATTGGGAGAAGGGGGAAGGATAAGGTAGACTGGGGTAAATTATCTCACATAGAAGAGGTGTGAAAGGAAGAGTTTTTACAGCAGAAGGGAAGATGGAGGTGGGAAACACTTGAACCATACTCTCATTGCAATTGGCTCAAAGAGGGAATAATGTACACACTCAGGTATAGAATCTATCTTGTCCTACAGGGAAGCAGGAGAGGAAGGGAATAAGAGAAGGGAGGAATGACAAAGGGAAGGGTGGATGGGTGGAGGCAGTGGTCAGAAGCAAAACAGACTTTTGAAGAGGGAGAGGGTGAAAGGAGACCAAGAGAAGGATAAACACTGGGAAGAAACAGGGTGGAGGGAAATACATAGTAATCATAACTGAATGTGAATGGGATGAACTCACCCATAAAACAGAAGTGGATAGCACAGTGGATTTAAAAACCAGTACTGAACAATATGGTGTTTACAAGAAACATACTTGAAGCAGAGAAACACACACAGAGTAAAGGTAAGGGGCTGGAGCAGACTCTATTATGCTTCAGCTGAAGTAAAAAAAGTAGAGGTAACAATCATGATCCCAGACAAAGTAATAGCAAAAATACATTTAAAGAGATAAGCAGGGAAACCATATTTTGCTAAAAGGTACTTTTGCTAAAAGGTAGTCAATGAAGTCATATCAATATTTTTTTTTTGCATTTTTGAAAACCATTTATTTGGAGACAATTTTGTTTAAATACCTTAAATTTCCTATATTTATCTTTCTCACTATTCACTAGGGAAATGTTCAGGAAAGTTGAGTGTTTGATGTAGAGAATTCATCTCATGCTACTGTTTCCTTCTCACCCACAGATGTAATCCTATATACAATCTCACCCTCTTTAAAATGGAATCTGGAAAACTGTCATCTACAAATGAGAGGGTTTTAGTTTTAGTTTTTGTTCTTTCTTTATTTAACTAGAGGAGGAAGAGTAGATAGCCTAGCCGGAATACCAGAATTTACACACGGCACCCATGAGGAGAGGCAGTTTCCTTTCAATACAAAATATCTGAAATAAGGATGCTTACAGACTCCTCTCCACCTCAATACATGATATGCATAAATGTTTATTTAACCTGTTTCATTTTGAAAATGTATCACACTAGATACTGAGGACAATATGAAGTGATACCAATATTAAACATGTATGTATCAAATGGTATGGCACCAAAATTCTTAAAGAAAAAGTTAAATGAGTTATAGGATGAAATAAGACAATAGAACTATATTAGTGAGGGACTTCAACTTTCCCTTCTTAGAACTAGATAAATCTAACCATGAAATAAACAAGAAAGAAGGAGATGAGTAGAATTTTATAAGGGTTAGATAGTGATAGACCTCTGGAGAAAACTGAATGGGAATAGAAAGGAATATATCTTTTTCTCAGCAATAAATGGCACCTACACAAAAACTGACTATGTATCATGTATCACAACCCAATGCAGAAAATCCAAAATATTACATGCCAACTTTTCAGAGCATAATGCAATAAAATCATATTCAATAAAAAGCTGC